GTTGAAGTGATTGAATTTGTGGCTGTGATTTAGGCTGTGAGCTTTATATACCAACAGATACACATAAACATGGGGTGTGAGTGGCCTCATACCCAGCTGATTGAAGATACTGATTCAAGTGGATGGAGAATCACTTATTACACAGTAAACTCACATTTTCCCTGAATAACTCTATGCTGAAATAATGAGGTTGTTTTGGATCCTGAATATTTCACTTTATGACAAACAGCATGTCTTATCAATGAGAGGATGCCTAATTTCCATAATCTTTTATATCATAATTCAATGCAGATATACAGACACACTTCATTTTATATTAGTCACAGACACAGCATGTTTTACAAATGGAAGGTGTGTAGGAAGCCACATCAAGTCTATCAGTGTCACTTTTCTAGCAGCATTTGCTCACTTGGTGTCTGTCATGGTTTGGTAATTCTCACAGTATTTCACCTTTTCATTATTATAACTGTTAGGGTGATCTGTGATCTTTGATGTTACTATTACAATTGTTTTGGTGGACCACAAACCATGCCCGTAGAAAATGGTGAACTTATGCAATAAGTCTTGTGTGTTCTGACCGCTCCAGTGACTGGCCATCCCCCCTCTCTGCCCCTCTCCTCAGGCCTCCCTATTCTCTGAGGCACAATATTGAAATTATGCCAATTAATAACCCTACAAAGGCCTCTAAGTGCTTAAGTGAAAGGAAGAGTCTCACAACTCTCACTTCTGATTTAAAGCTTAAAGCTCTTGGTTTATAAACGAGTAAGCTGAGTGAGGAAGGCAAGCTGAAAGCCAGGCCTTTTGCACCAAGAACTTCTTAAGTGAAAAGTGATCCTCCAGTGGACACATGATTGATAAGAAAGGAAAACAGCCTTATTGGTGATATGGAGAACGTTTTAGTGGTCTGGATAGAAGATCAAACCAACCCACAACCTTTTCTTAAAGCCTAGTCCAGAGCAAGACCCTAACTCTTTTCTATTCTATGAAGGCTGAGTGAGGTGAGGAAGCGGCCGAGTCAGAGCTGGAAGCTAGCGGAGGTTAAAGAAAAGAACCATCACCAAAACGTAAAAGCACAAGGTGAGGCAGTCAGTACTGATGTAAAGGCTGCAGCACGTTATCCAGAAGCTCTAGCCTAGGTAACTAATGAAGGTGGCTACACTACACAATGGATTTTCAGTGTAGATGAAAGAGCCTTCTATTGGAAGAACATGCCATCTAGGACTTTCATAGCTAGGAAGAAAGAGGAGTCGATGCCTGGCTTCAAAGCTTCAAAGGATAGGCTGACTCTTGTTAGTGGCTAATGCAGGTCGTGACTTTAAGTTGAAGCCGATACTCATTTACCATTCCAAAAATCCTAGGGCCCTTAAGAATTATGCTAAACCTACTGCATGTGCTGCAGAAACAGAACAGCAAAACCTGGATGACAACATCTGCTATAACATAGTTTACTGAATATTTTAAAACTGTTTCTGGGAACTGCTCCAGAAAGAAAGATTTCTTTCAAAATATGACTGTTCATTGACACTATACCCAGTCACCCAAGAGTTCTAGTAGAGATGTACAATAAGATTAATGTTTTTCATGTTGCTAACACAACATTCATTCTACAGCCCAGGTATCAAGGAGTCGTTTCAATTTCAACTTGTAAGGTGGTAGATGCCATAGATAGTGATTCCTCTGATGGATCTGGGCAAAGCAAATTGAACATTTTTTAGAAAGGAGTCACCATTCTAGACCAGTAAGAACGTTAATGATTTATGGAAAAGGTCAAAATATCCACATTCACAGGAGTTTGGAAGAAGTTGATTCCAACCCCCATAGGTGACTTCAAGGTGTTCAGGACTTCAGTAGAGAAGTTACTGCAAGTGTGGTACAAACAGCAAGAGAACTAGAATGAGAAGTGGAGCCTGAAAATGTGACTGAATTGCTGCATCTCATGATAACCCTTTAATGGATGAGGAATTGTTTCTTATGTTTCTTGAGATGGAATCCACTCCTGGTGCGGATACTCGGCAGATGGTTGAGATGACAAGTGATTTAGACTGTAACATAAACTTAGCTGACAAACAGCAGCAGGGTTTGAGAGCATTGACTACAACTTTGGAAGAAGGTTTACTTATTCAACAGCATCACATGTTACAAAGAAACTTTCTGAAAAGAAGTCAATTTTGTCTTAAGAGCAGCAAAATATTTTTTCCTTAAGGTACACCTATACAGCAGTCCTGATACCACCTTGATAGTTAACAGCACAAGGTATCAGAGTACCTTTGGAATCATTCAGAAAAGATGTTTCATTTGGTTCACTGACAGTTTTAAGTCTAATTACTTTGTCATTATTTAAATTAATGAAAGTTTATGATATATATATTGTTATTTTTAGCACAGAACTTCCAGTTCATCTGGAAACACATAGCTACTTCTGCAGGGTATCTGCAGGAGCAAGAGTGTGCCCAGGTCAGTAGTTCAAATGCCAGCATTTAGTCCAAGTAAATGTTTGAGTAAAGTACTTAGCTACTTTATGCCTCAGTTTCCTTATCAGTAAATTGAAGAAAATGCTGGTACCTATTTCATGGATAAAATGAGTTTAAATGTTTCTAGTGTTTTGAATAGTACCTGTTTTGTGGTAGCCACTCAAATGTTAGTTTCTTATTATTCTTGATGGTATTATCATGGCAGTTTCCAGTTTGCTTAGCACTTTTACATTCATTTTCTCACTTGAGCCTCATGACAGCCCTGTAAACTAAGTAAAGCAAGTGTGAGAATAAAAACATAACTTTCCCATTGTCTCAAACCTAATTATTGGTAGTATGGTAGAATCCCATATCTGATTGATAATCCATCCCTCTCACCATAGCCAGGCACCCCCGTCTCTAGCTAATAAAGGGAATTGTCTTCCTGAGACACTATCTCCTTAGTAACCATGTCTCCCTGGGGTCCCAGGTTAAAATCAAGACCCTGCGAGCATTCTGGCTCCAGATGTAGGTTCATTTTACTATCCTCAAAGTGTACAACAGCATCATGGGGTGTTTCAAAGCCACAATTAAATGAGTTGCATTTGGCAAAGGCTTGTGTGGATTGCCATCTTTTCACAAGGGCCAAATCTTTCATGATACCCTCCAAGTTCAGTGCCTTCCCAAATCCCACTAATAACTAAAAGAAGTATTAGCACAAGAATTGAACCTGTAAATGAAACTTTTGTACCAAATTTCAAATACAGTCTCCAGAGTCTCATATAGGGGTGTTAACTTGTTCAGTGGTGTTTTAGTATCTAGTGATATAAAGTACCCCCCAACACTGGAAAAATCCTCCCAAGGATGAAAATAATTCTGACATCTTAGCAATAAAGATATTGCTTATCCTTACTTGCTCTTTCCAAATTATGTAGCCTTATAGACTGTAAACATTAGAAAAGACAATTCTATTAACTCTAGATAGCCTTTTCTGTGGAACAAAGCAAAACATAAGAGATCTATATAAGCACTGTCCAGAGAGACAAATGAAATACAAGTCAAACAGGGTCTGAAATATCCACTACTATTTTATAGCACCTGGATCTATGCAGGTTCCTTCAGCTCAAATCCTGCACTGGGATTTTAACAATAGAATACAATAACAATAGTAGCTAGTATAATTCAAGCTTAGATATACTAATCTAATGAAATATAGTATTATAACTAGAGATTTTAACTCATGAGAATTGCTCAGTCTACCCTTCAATACTATTTAAGAAAATAAGTATTTCTGGGTTCTCAGAGGGCTTTGACCTGGTTGCAAAATATTAGTCCATTCTTTCTTCTTTGGTCCCAGGAGCTGGGATGAAATCACATGATTTAATCATTGTGAATCCATATGGCTCCTCTGAGATAGGCCAGATGTAACCAGAAGGATTTATAGGGTGTAAAATTCAGAATGGATTAGGAAAGCATTTCTATGTTCTGCCTAATACATCTTAAATCAACCTCCCCTGAAATGGAGGAGAGTAATCGCTGGCTGGCCTAGTGGGGAGGTTGCCATGGCAACTGACTGGCAAGCTCAGCCCGTGGAATGTGAATGCTCACAATAGAATAAGATTGTGTACAGAGCAGCATACAAAGGCTGCTTCTGCCCAGGTACAGTGACACATCAGTAGAAGTGTGAAATTGTCACTGCATTTTTTTGTACTTTCTTGAAATTCTGGCAGCTCATTTGAAATTTATCAAGTGTCCCCTTCCAAATGTTGGTAAAAACATTGTTATAGCTGATAGATAACAAAAGCTAATGAAAAAATCAGTACCGGGAGATAGGTGCAATGATACACAAAGCCCAGAGGCCTGTTAGGCTAACATCGCTCAAAAATTTCCTAAAGATGCTGAATCACACGGAAGGTGAATCCAACGATTCTCTAGTGCCACCTTGTGTCCAGTTAGATACTGGGAATTTACCAACAGCCTGCCCTCAAGCCCTCCACTGAGTAGCATGAAGGCAGATACGGAAGAGGTTAAGTTGGACTGTGTTGACATTTGGTAGTCCCTTTTGCAGAAGAACGTGCACATGAAGTCTTCTGAGTCTCAAGTTAATGGAAAAATGAAAATCAGTAATTTTTGTAGATTCTGAAATGGAAAAAGAAAAAATTGCCAAATAACACCAGTTCTAGAAAAGATTCCAAAAGACTATATGGTGGGTCAGGGGTTGGTTGGAAGAAAGGATGACAAAGACAGACACAGTGTTGAGGATTCTCAATGTTGCCAGATCATACATTCATTCATCCTTGCTGGTAGCATAAATGAATTAATAGGGAAGAATTAAGTGTGAACATCACCAATTCCACTCTATAACTCTGTGTTCATGGTTAATGTGTAGCAAGATGGTAGCATTTGCACAAGTGGTACTTCTGTTCACTTCTCATCTCTCACACAAACCATACCCCTTCCCACTATCACCACTCAAAACTACAACCAAGTCCCACTTAATTTCAGTGGAAGTATGAAATGACAAGCTATGTTTCTCTTTCTTTGCTTCAGGGTTCGAATTTTTTGAAACAAGTGCCAAGGATAACATTAACGTCAAGCAGACATTTGAGCGTCTTGTGGATATCATCTGCGACAAGATGTCAGAGAGTTTGGAGGCTGATCCGGCCATCACTGCTGCAAAGCAACACACGAGACTCAAGGAAACGCCTCCCCCACCGCAGCCCAGCTGTGGCTGCTAACGTGCCCACACACGCGGGCAGCTCTGGGGGCTTGGTTACCAACCAACAGCATTTACAAGTGGTCAATTAGCCTTCGTTTATACAGCCTCATAATTCTGTGAGGGAAAATCTTTGATGTCATTTGGCTCATACATGCATTCAATTCTTGGGAGATTTCCTATGCTAATATGTGGCAAATTTGTGATCTTAAATTTGTAAGGACTATCCATCTATGAACATCTGGTATTTGCATGTGATTTGTTATTTGTCTTCTAGGCTCTTTTTGTTCCAATATCTGCTCAGATTAAGCTACTGCTAGGACCTCAGACTGTAATTTTACTGCAACTGACTTTGGCGCCACGGGTCAAATGATGCTACTCACTTATAGGGATGAGAACCATGGATTACCCGTGTGTGTGTGTGAGCAAGGGGAGATCTCGGAGAGAGGCCTTATTTGCTTTCATCTTTATTGAAAATCAAGTGGAAATATTTTTCTGGGGTCTGATCAGTTTACCGTTCAGAATATGGGTATTTTTCAGTGTTATTAATATCTGAGGAGACAGCTGACCACCAAGAAATAAGAAATTGAAAAATTGTGTTTAAGGTCCTTGCAAGTTTCCTAAGAGATTAGTATTTACCTGACAGGAACTAGATTTAACAATTACCTTAGGTGTTTAAATAAACAATGGCCCTAACCCAGGACTGCTCTTTTCAGTGATTCTACACAAAATTCAGAATATTTGAGGACTCTGACGGACGGAGAGGTATGAACTGAATGCCTTATGCAATAAGCATTTTAACCAAGAAGGTATATGAGTAAAATTCCAAAGCCTGAGCTCCACCATTTCTTTAATAACTTGCCCTCCTAACACCCATCACCATCACCATGATGATGACTTCCTGGAGCCATCACCAACTCCTGGAATAGAAGTTAGGGGGAGGCCTCTTGGAGCCCTGCTCACCAGAGGATGTAGGCTTGCTTCCAAACCATTGCCTTCTGACCATCTCAGCTTAACTATTTTACCTAAAATAAATTATTTAAACAGTATGTCAATAGCTCCCAGATTAGAGATTAAAATAGTCTATTCCTCAATCTTTTAATCCAGTTCATAAATCTAAAACATATCCCCATTCTGTGAGCCTTTAAACTTAAGTTACTGGGAGAATATTCTTTAGAGCTGAGAATTACAGAAACACTTTAGCACACCATAAGCAATTTAAGAGGGGGAGGGAAACCATCTGCCTGGCTTTTTTCTCCTAGATTTCTTAAAGAGCATTGATGAATAACAAGCAAACAACTCCTACCAGCTGTTCTGACTCAGCACTAGAGGGAAAGTATTGATGTATATCAATATCCTTGCATATATATCATGCATATATCTGAAGATAACCCTGGAGAATAAATGCCTACAAGTCTGGAAACTAAGTCACATACATTATTAGTAAGTTAGAAGTTGAAAATTGTAGGAGAGTGCATTTGGCATTTGGTATGCTATAAGCATATCATGTTATTTCTCAGCTTAAGATCCACTAATGGTAATAAATTTCCATGTCAGCACCCTGCAAGGCAAGCCTTAGCTTAGTGAAGACAAGAATGATCAGATTTTAATGGGGCAACTGGCTTGAAAGATCAGACATTACACTGAAGGGAAAGAGTGAAGGGGGAGGGCATAAAAGCACATTTGTTTGCAATAGAAGCCCATCTGCATGACACTGTAATATTTCTTCCACATGGACTAGAATGTGGCCATCTTCAATGAAACAGATGTTGTTAAGCTCACTTTTACAATCTAATATGAAGCAATAAAGCCAGGAAAACCTTTCAAAGCCCTATCACACAATATACATACATATGTTAAGGACCTAAGTATGAGGTTTCAGATGGCTTTTTAGAAGGACCTTGATATGTATATTATTGTAAAGCTGAAAACAAAATGAGAGAGAGCAGAAAAGTGGGAGAGTTGAGTTTTGCTTTCTTGTAAAACCCCTTCCCTGAAGAAACTGTTACTGAAATTAGCTGGCCCTAAAAGCAGAAGCCTAAGCCAAGCGCCTGCCTCAGTGTCAGATGTACCAAACCACTGGCAGACATGTCAGAACTACTTCACTCCAGTCAGGGGAGCATGACCCAGCAGCTGCAGGGGCATCACCAGTGAACACTGGGTCCTTTTTGTTTTTCAAACCTCAGTGCAAGTGGAGCCCACTAGTTGATTCTCAGTTCTAACACCCTCCTGGTGTGAATTTCATTGAGCCAGAAGTTTCCAAAGAGGACTCTTACAATTAAGTGAATGAACATCTGTGTCCTTGCTATAAAGCATGTGGGAAGAGAATATACACTATTCTTAATCTCATCAAGAGCACTTGGTTTTAAAATCAAATTTGTCAACAGAAGAACTAGCCCAGGGACATATAAGTGAGCTTTGTTTGGCACCAAGCTATATTAGTTATAAATACTTACAAATTAAAGCACTGTAGTTCCAAGGTTTTTCAGCCTTTTGCCACCACCCTACCCCACCCCCAAACACACACAAACACACACGGCACCTTCTGCATTTTGTCCACCTGCCAAAAACCTGAATACCTATGGATCATTTTTACCTTTGGCCTAATTTTGTATTTAAAAGAACGACACACCTTTACAAAGTATACGCTTGTGTCAGTTGTAAATTCTAGATAACAATCATCTGTTACCTTTGCTGTGTTTCAAGCATTAATTTCTCTCTCTGCCACCCACCTTCTCAGCGCTCCCACCCCTGCAATTACTTTTAGAAACAAACCTTGATTGTTCTGAGCAGATGCTTCCAGGAGTTCGGGTACATGACTTTCCATTCCTGATGCAATTGAAAAACTGGACTGGAAATTTTTTCATCTAAATAGCCATGCCGAGAGTGGATTGGCATTTAAGTTTTTGTGGATGTGAATGTATGTAGAAGGTGTATGACTTCCCTTAAGTCCGAAGGCAGCAGTTTAAAAGTTAGCGTCATGTGTATGGGATAAAAATTGCTTCAGGACAGCAAAGCAGGTCAGGCTGTTGCCCCACCGAACAGCTTCTACTGCCTCCATGAACATCTAATGACTATATCTAAGAGCCAGCAGGTGCTCATAGTTTCTCCTTAGGTCACTTGAAGGCAGTATCCTTTTGCTGTCTGGTAAATAAGCTCTAAGATTTTTATTTGGAGAGGGAATTATGATGATGCTTTCAGTTGTAGCAGAGAGCCTTGTTATGATAAATGTGAAGTATAAATTCTATAAAACTGCAACCCAGGTTATACAAGACATCTAAACTCAATAAACATATTTCATCTACTTAACTGATATAGATTAACTGTAGTCCTTTCGTTTAGCACATTGGGTTTTTTTATTTCAAGAACAAACTTCCAATTTAAGCTATCTGTGCTGAAAATACTTTTAGATGGTCAATGTTCTTCTTTTCAAAAAGTAAAATACATTCCAGTATTAATTGAACTTCCATAAAATGACATTGACTTTGGGATGTGGCAGTCTGTAATCAGTGGGCTTCTGTGAGATGCTTTATCCAGTGTGTGGCAGCATGTAGTGAGGATGTACCCCGCCATCCTCAGCTGACCGTGGGGCATTGCAGGACTGCACTAAAGATGTATCCAGACTCCACAGAGCTGTCCTAAGGTGGAGGAGCAGCTGCATGTGAAATACTATGATATAAATCTTATTTTAAAGTCATAACTAAACCCATTCTAGACCAAAAAGTGTCTGTTAGTAATTTTCATATCCTGGTGGGATGCTCAATGAGGTATTTCCGGTGTGGCCTCCTTGGGAGGTGGCCTGTCTTTCTGTCTGAATAATCCTTTCTCTCAAAATTCTAGTTTGCATGCCTCTGTGTTCCTTTGTGTGTGCTCAGTGTGCTATGTCAGGTGCCATGTGAGCAAGGGGACCCACGTGGCCTTTCTGATCACCCCCTGGGAAATGCAGCCTCAGCAGCTCTGCTTGGCTTCACCAGTTCGCGTGCACTACCCGTGGTCTAATAGTCCACTAGTAAGATGGTGAGCTCTTTCTCATGAGCTGAACCCTGAGGCTACCTTCTCAGAGTTCTGTTTATCTTAGGTGAATTTTTTTGACCAAAGCCAGCTAAAGATACAAACCTGTTTTATATTCTGTAATGAATTGGGAAATGAGGTAAAAAATGACATTCATGACCAGAAAATAGCATCCCTACAGTACACCTGAAGGGCTGCAGATTCTGGAAATACAGTGTCCCCTTAGGGGACAAAAACAGATCTGCGGGGCTTACCTAAATTATATCTCCCTACTGTTACTGGTATTTCATAATAAATGTAGTTTTTTCTTTAAAAAGCCTTTACAGAAATGCATGACACTACAGTCAAATAATATCTTCCTTTGGTAGATTGAAATATTTTACATTTGGGCCACACACATAGTGTTGCCCCTCTCAACATATGCACACACAGATCCCCTTTTTCATGAAGGGAAATTTCCATATATGGTGCTTTCTCAGTGCTAAGAAAAAGGAAGCTTTTGTTATGTTCCAAATGTAACTCACATTTTGTTTTGTTTAAGAAGGTGTACAAAATAGAGTCTTCACAATGATTTATATGTCTGTGCACACAATTAATTCCCATTAACAAGAGAGAATGGAGAGAAAATGTATATTTCAAACATTCTAGACAAAATAATTTCAAAATTTCCATTCTAGCTCAAGTGGTAAGATCTGACCATCTACCTAGTGGACAAATTGAACTTTCGATTTACGATTCTCTTTTCTACTTCCTGATTTTTAATCATTTCAGTTTTTAAAGCACAAGCCTCACAGAATGACAGGACCAAGAATAGGAAATGAGACTCAAGTTTCACTATTTCCCTCCCATCAGCACTATTATCTGTGGAGTTTCAGTCACTCAACCTTCATGCTGAAATGAAGTTGGGGGGGTTACCTGTGTATTTCAGTCATCTGTATTCATACTTTCCTTCATAGTGGACAACTAAGAGTTGGCTGTGGCTCTTATTTCTTAATGGAAATACTTCCATTTTCATGTTGTTTGGGGCTAGGGCTTGCTTAGGTTCATGTTCTTAAAGGTGCAGATGGTGCATGAGCCAAATAGACACCTGGCCTTTCAGGGATGTGAGTATGACTTACATTTGTCTAGTGGTTCCATACGCTTTATAAAAGTGAAGTCTGGGAACTGTGTGCTGTATCAATATGATGGTTTCCCATGCATTGTCTCATCATCCCTAGGATGTACGCTGAATGAAAACTCCCTGTAATTCCTGTTAATATATTGTTAATGTCAGATGTGATGTGACACCGTTGGACTGTCCAAATGTACAACTATTTAATGGTGTTTGTGTAACTGAAATGTCTTAATGTTGCATGAAATATGTAATAAAAATAGATTTGTTTTCTATTTTTCAACACCTCAGAATTGAGGGTTCATGGGCCAATAAGTGCAATATTTAATGACTTACTCAGTGTATATAAACTAGTGTGAGAAAGTGAATTCTAATGAATGTGTGAGATGCTTTGATGGCTGTGTGACTTATTCAAATTACTTCTTAGAGCTGTATTTGTCTAGTGGTGCAGTTTATACAGTAAATACCTTACTGGTGTCATGTGAAACTTCTCTGTGCCTACTTCAAAATACATTTTTTCCTATGAGACCAAACATTTGGCATCTGCAAATATATGTCAATTTTGCCTTTTAAAATTGTACATTTTATTTTCAAGACAGAATGGCTGTTAGTTTATTTTATATAGACATTTCCTTCTTCAACTCAGAATTTTCCTGAAACCTCTTACAAGAGGCTAATTTAGATACCTAAGAAAGAATATGCACATAAGAAAAATCATTTTTATTCTCAGAAGTGTTGATCTCATGTTCTATTAAGAACTTTCACTCCTGTGTTTGTTTATTTTGTTACTCAACCTTATGTTTTATTCACAAATTTAACAGTGTCAAAACCTGATAATCTTACAGTATGTCTCTTTAGGTTGTAACTAATGTCATATTCACTTTCAATTTTCAATTGTCCACATTGGCAATATAAAGAAAAAAGAAAGGAATTCCTTAAATCATTTTGACATGTCAACACAAATTCATGTATTCGTCTTCCAGCCTCCTTGGTTAATCCCACAATTGGTGGCCTAGAACTTCACTGAGATGCAAAAATCAAGAAATTAGGCCTGGTTGCTGGATTACCAAAAACTGTAAGTGTTTATGTAGATGAAATTTGAAGTAGGTCAACTACCTTAAACTCCTACTTGCCATTTTAATTACTAAGGTAAAGCACTCATTTTAATACTGTGCTTTGCTTTTTTATTTCGAGTAAATCATGTTACACTTAGAAAGAAAAGTTATGAGTTATTCACTGAAAATGATAAAGAATAGCAGTTGGTTTTAGATGACCATGGTCATCTGTACGTCAATGTGAAGCCTTAGTTCTTGATGGCAGTTGCCTACCATTGACCTGTGGGGATGTGCCAATGGTATTAAATGATGGTGGGCGATCACCCACCACTATTTTAAATGTGATAAGCTGAAATTTGTACTCAGCTCTCAAAGCCACTGAAGAAGTCAATGGAAGGTCGGCGAAACAGGGAGATTAGTGACAACTTTGTGCCAAGTTGAAAAAAGAAAAATGCAAGCAGGTAACCAAAACTGGATAATTTAAGGGTTATATTTAAATGTTAGTCATCACACAGTTATTGATTACCATGTGCTCAGTGCTGTGGGAATCAAACATACAAGAGTTATGGTTCCTGCTCTTAATAAGCTTACTGACTGAAAAACAAGGGGAAAATGCCAGGATATTATCTAAATGCCAAATTATATTAGAATATATGAGCACAGAGAATGGGGACCTGTAAGAACTGGAAGAGTCAAGAAAGGTTAGGTTAAAGATCCTGGGAAGAATTAGATAGGGGACTGTGCAAGGCAAAAAAGTGGGATAGGTCAGAGTATATTTCCTGTAAATGAAAAGGTGACAGACTATGTAGATCCTTGTTTTTTACCCAGAGAGCCAAACTGGCCCTTTAAATCCCAACAAGTGACCCCAGTTGGGCTTTCTCAGTTTTTGTCCCCGAGAGGAAGATAAGCTGCAGCAACATCAATTCCTCTGTGCTGAGTAGCCCCAGACTCAGCCACAAAACACAAATTGCTTTAAAGCCACATTAGAACAGTCAGTTTAGACATTTTGCCCATGCACCAAACACAAGACATAACGTCCAATCCAGTGTCAACCAGCTGTGTGCTCAGACGTTTCTGTAGTTTCATGTTCCCCATAAAGGGTGTTAGGAAGTGCATAAATGAAGCCCTTCTTTTGTAACTGGGCACTTTTTGGCTCCTTCGCAGTGACTGCACTGTGGAGCAATTCTTAAGGAAATATTGGGTGACAGCTCAGTGCTTTCATATAGTGATCGTGACATTTAGTTGAAAACTGCTACATAGCAAATATTGTGACTCTTCATGTGTCCACAGGAGCTCTTGTCTGGGTTTAAAGCTATAAAGTGTATTCACATTGTGAAGTTTTAATTCTCTTTACTGAAATTAATTGTGTAAAACCTGTATGTGCTCTATTAGGTATTAAGTTTGTATGTGAATTCTGCATAGAAAGTGGTTTTTGTTCTTTGGATTTATCTTGTTTTATTTTTTGGAAATTACAATAAATATCTAAGAGACTATATATTACTGAATTTCTCAGTCTTAGTCTGATAAATGATTTTCATTTTCTTTCAATATTCTTATTGATCTTGGTTTCAGGATGACTATTTCCATTCTTTTTACCTTCTTCCTCTACAGTCCTAGGCACAACCCTGAATCTGACCTAGAGACAGAGAGTGAATACATTTGCATTTAGGAGTAGACTTCTAAAACACAGATTTGGACTAAGGCATAGGATTTCGTTCTAATACTTGTAAACTTTAAGGTAGGTAACTTTATACCTCATTGACTGCATTCCAGAGACACAAGGCTCTTCACTGTAGAGTCAAGAATAGCTACTATTATATTAAAAAGACACCTCTGCTACCTGAAGACTATATGTACCCATATCTGAAATCTAGGGTCCATGGCCATTTGGGTGCACTCCTGGCATAGCCTGGGAGAAGAACATTCAACAGGGACAACATGTAAATGGGATACGTGAGTATTACAGGCTTTGTTTGATGCATGGTGCATGATACAGCAATGCTTCAGATACCGCACAAGGTAGGCCTTGGGCCTTAAGGCATGGTGAAGCACCCAGCTATCTATTTACATTACAGCAGATCCACTACTAATTTTGAGATCCCTTTATGTTCTTATTGTGCTACCATCTCTACTTCTACATACTTTCTTCCAAAATATGCCTCTTGGGGGCATTTCCAGGAATTTGCACTAAAAAATCAGTCAAAATATCCACATGGGGCAAAACAGCTTCCTAAACTGAACTCAGTGACAGGAGGATAAGTGGCAACAGGCAAAGATTCAAAATTAAGAGGGAAAAATAATAAATTAAGGGACTTCCAGTTATACTGTCAACAGATACATTTTCACAACAGAATGTCTTCTATGTGCTAATCTCTTAGGATACCTGAAAATACATACAGTAGAGTCCTATTTCTTTCTCAACAGCATTGAGAAGGTAGACCTGAAAAGAATACCTCATTCATCTTCAAGAGATGCTAAGCTTCCTATTGGATTTGAAAAAGACCTCTTCTAAAAGGCTAAACGGCAGGGCTTTGGCCTTTGGACACATCTCAGGAACACTCAACCTCTTGGTTTCCTTATTTCTCCTCTAACTTTCTTTTCATTTCACCCCATACCTACCAAGTCCAAAGACTCTCTTGTTTGGTGGAGAGGTAGTCTTGCTGCCCAACTTTTCAACCTAATCTATTGCTTATGCCAAGTCCTTTAGCAATAGAGTTTCTTGTTTATTAACTCAAAATCTAAGGCAATTTCAACTAAAAATCATATTCTCTCTCTCTCTCTCTCTCTCTCTCTTTCTAATGTATCTCCTCTAAAGCAATTCCACTGACTGAATGGAAGAAAAACGAAGGGTATAGACAGTATAAGGAAGGTAGGTATTGGTCAGAAATCTGTATTAATGTTCAAAATAATATCCTACTAAGCAACTACAATATAATTTGATATATAAAGGTTACATACAAACTTGTGAAAGTGGGGAGGAGGGGCAATTAATCAAGACTGAAAGCAAAGACTGGCAAGTTCCAAGAAGGCCTACTGAGAGAAATGAGGCCTGTTCTGAAACACCTAAGAGTTGTAGAAGTTATGCAGAGGCAGCAGTGAAAGAAAGTTGTTCCAAACAGCAAGCAGCTAATGCAGCCCACAGAAGTATAGCAGGGCAGAGTGAATTTATAGAACCCCAAAGCCACTCATTTAGGTGATCACAGGGTGGAAGAAATGGGGAAGGAGCCCAGGGCTGAAATCATGACACTTGTCTGAGACATCCTCTGGCTGTCAAAGTCTTAAAGGGATTTAATCAAGGAAGTAGTTTGAGCAGATTTGAATTTTGAAATTTCATTCAAAAAGCAATACGGGAAACAGACTAATAGGAGGCAATAGTGGAAACAGAACCAGCACTGGACAGTCATTATGGTTACCTAGGAATTATAGGCCTGGATTAAAGGAGGCTCAGTAGTGGTGAAGAGAGGGGTACACGATAATTTGATTCAGACAGTAGGTAATGGTGACCAATGAAACTCAGGGAATGAGAACTAGAAACCAAGGGTGATCCTGGTATTTCTGGCTCTGCTTATTAAGTTGATATTAGTTGCATTAACTCAAAGAGGATATGCAGGTTCTAGTTCAAGAGTGACATGAGAAGATCCTGAATTCACCTCATCCCATAGACACACGGAATCTACAACTACATATGGAACTTCCTCTTAAAAAATAAAAACTAGCTGTGCAACCCCTAGACATTGGGCACATGAGAAATAAAAACACATCAAAGCAGATAGGAAAGGCTGAGACACAATCTTACCCTAAGCCCCACCCTGGGCAAGGTGGCACACAATCAGGAGGGAACTCAAAACCTGGAACTTCTCATATCACCCCAACTTTTAAGACCTGCACCTGAGAGATAGGCCCCCAAAACATCTAGCTTTGAAAACCAATGGGGCTCATGTCCATGAGATCCAGAAGTCTATAGCAAGCTAAGAAATAACTCTTTAAGGGCTTGCGGTCCAACTCACTCACCTTAGTTTAGGGACCAGCAGAGGCAGCTGAGTTACCCAGGCCTTAGGAGAAGTGAATAAGCCCCTTTTACCTAAAGTGTCAGAATGAGGAATAGGTATCTAATTTAACACACATTCTGAGGCCTGCTGCAGGGGTACTTCCTGAGGATGGAGGCCGGTGGGCACCATCTTTGTGCTCTGCCTCTGCCATGCTCCAGATCATGGGTATATCCTAGAAAGCAGCTTTTACCCTCCTCCGGCTCCCCAGCTTCTCAGGCTGCTATCCATGTGGCACCTCTAAATCACCCAGCTCTGGTGGCCAGTGGGGCTTATGTTCAAGAGTCCAACAGGACTGTAACCTATAGAGAAAGAGTTTTTAAATGGCTACCAGCCCCAGAGCATAGCAAAAGGCAATAGAATAAAGCACTGGACTTATGTTCATAGCTGCAGCCTAAAAGACAGGCTTCTAATTAAACAGGCATCTAATGGCCAACTGTAATCCTTTCCAGAAACCTCAGAGGGCAGTTGCTATCTCTGCAATCTCTCTCTGCAATGCAAATTGGGCAAACTAGAAGAAGCAGATACATTTCTAGAAACATACAACTACTAAGACTGAATCATGAAGAAACAGAAAATATGAGTAGACCATTTACCAGTAAACAGATTGAATCAGTAATTGAAAACCTCCCCAAAACGAAAGTTCAAAAACACAAAGCTTCACTGGTAAATTCTACCAAACATTTAAAGAATTAATACTAATCCTTCCCAGACTCTTAAAAAAATAAGAACACTTTTCCAACTTATTCATAGAAGGCCAGCATTACCCTGATAACAAAACCAGACAAGGATACCATAGGAAATTTATAGGCAATATCCCTGAGGAGCATAGGTTAAAAAAATACTCAACAAAATATTAACAAACTGAATTTAACAATATATTAAAAGGATTGTACACCAAGATCAAAAGATCTATTCTAGGAATCAAGGATAGTTCAACAATGACAAATCAATCAGTAAGGTACCCACATTAAGAAAATGAAGGATAAAAATCATATGATCTCAAAGGATTCAGAAGAAATATTTGATAAGTTCAACATCCACTTATGGTAAAAACTCTCAACAAGGTAAGTATAGAGGGAACATACCACAATACAGTAAAAGCCATATGACGAGCTCATAGCAAACATTACACTCAATGGTGAAAAGCTAAAAGCTTTTCCTCTGAGATCAAAATAGGAAGAGGCTGACAACACTAACCACTCTTAGTCAAGGTAGTACTGGAGGTCCTAGCCAGAGCAATCAGGCAAGAAAAAGAAATAAAATGCATCTAAATCAGAAAGATTTGCACTGATATGCCACAATATAGAGAAAACCCTAAAGAGTCCACCAAAAATTTAGACTAAGTTCAGTGAAGTTGTAGGATACAAAAATCAGTTTATAAATTACACACTAACAACAGACTATTAGAAAGTGATTAAGAAAACAATCCCATTTACAATAGCATCACAAAGAATAAAACATCTAGGATGAAATTTAACCTAGGAGGTAGAAGACCTGTAAGCTAAAAACTAAGACACTGATGAAAGAAATAAAAGAAGATAACAAATAAAAATGAGGAGATCTGAATAAACATCTTTCCAAAGAAAACCTGCAGACAACAAACAGCAAATGAAAAGATGCTCCACATCACTAATCACCAGGAAATACAAATCAAAACCACAATGAGATATCACCTAACACCAGTTAAATTGACTATTATGAAAAGACAAGAAATAAATGTTGGTGGAAATGTGGAGAAAAAGGAACTCTTGTATCCTTCTGCTGCAGCTGCTATGGAAAACTGTATGAAGGGACCTCAAAAAATTAGAATTACCATACAATCCAGCAATTGACTTCTGAGCATTTATCCAAAGAAAATTAAAATGCTAATTTGAAAAGATGCTTGCTATTCCATGTTCACTGCAACATGATTTGCAGTAGCCAGGACACAGAAACAGCCTACGTGTCCAGCAATGGATGAATGGATCAAAAACATGTACATACAATAGAGTATTATTCAGGCATAAGAAAGGAAGGTGTGCCTTGAAATTTGAGACAACATAGATGGACCTTAAGGGCATTATGCTAAATGAAATGAGTTAAAGAAAGACAAATACTGCATGATCCTGTGGGGTGGTGGCACCAGGGGCAGGGGGCCAGTGAGCTCTCTAACAGAGGGGACAGAAACTGAAGGTCGTGGGTAGTCAGACCGGTCATGTAGGCTGCAGCTGTAGGGTGACAATGCTTTTCAGCAACAACCAGATCTATGAAGAGAGACCTCAATGATTAGGCAGGGGAAAAGTGAGGGTGGCAAAGAGAACTGAAAAAACATGTTTTCTGTATCCAGCCCTGGAATTTTAGCCAGCGGTCTGCCCACAGACCTGAGATTCTCAAAACCAAGAACTCCTTACTAGGCTGTATCTTCAAGTGCTAAGCCACACCTTCCCCTACTCTGCCTCCAGTTTTT